TAAAAGATGAACGTTACAAATGCGAGATTTGAATACAGAGCAAACAGAAAATGATAGGCTACTAAAAAGATAAATGTCACCAACTGAGTTCATCACGTCTATTTATACCATGAAGTTCTAAAGTCATAGCTTTGTCAATGAGGTGAGCCTCGCGTGCCTTTCTAACAGAGTCACGGTTGGTACGGATTAGTTCTAAGAGAATAAGAAGGACGTCGTTGATAGAGTGATCGGCTTGATTAAAATGTTTGGAGACAGGAGTAGGATTAGAAAAGTGGCCATTATAGTTGAGAATAGAGCGGCGATGCTTCCCAAGACGAGATGAACGTATGACGTATGAATCTAAAGTTGAATTTGCAGAGGGTGGGGACTGGAAGATATAAACCCCTATTTAAGGAAGATTATTAAACTTAGATTACAAAGGGCAAACTTGCAGCTGTAAACCGTGATTTAATCACCTTATCAAGGCTGTGCTCTAGCAGAGCCCGGTGGCCTATGGCGCCTAACTTTTGTTCTTTGGCGACTAGAAAATCTTTGCTTTTTCATAGAAATCATATGCTGGGCAAACTGGATTTCACAAGTTCAGAGCACTGGGCTCCCTTTAATTTTTCTTAGAGCACAGCCTTGCTTATCACACTGTTGTGTTTGTTGGTCTTTTGCTAGGACACTGCGGGTGAAGAAAGATTCTCAGGTTTGTCGTCATTTTACTGCCGAAGTGCTTCTGCAGCAATTGTAGCTTATGATATCACTCAAGGAAGATCCTTTCAAGTCCTCAAAGAGCGCCATTTGCAACTACTGGAAGCTGCCGAACCAAACTGCCTTATTGTTGTCGTTGGAACAAAAACGGACCTTGTGACAAGGGATACCAGAGAAGTTCCTTCATCTGCTGGTGAAAAATTAGCGATCGAGCAGAACGAAAGAAAAGGAAGGCCCAGGAGTGGTTTCAGTGTCCATCCATTTTTTGAAACGAGTGCGAAAACAGGCAATAATGTGGACAAAGTTTTCGAATTTATTTTGAACACTTGCCTACCTCTAGACGATGAAGAAACTGCCAGAAATTCGTTACGTAAAATGTCAGGTCTGAATCTTGAACAGAAATCACGCAGGTCACATAGCCATGAATCTAAAAGCTGTTGTTAAATGAAAATTTTAATAAGTCAAGAGCCTCGACTTCGCCCATTAACTGGTGAACACGATAGTTAGCTGCGAGTTCATCTTTACAGGAAAAATTGGGGGAAGGGACGGGAATACTGCAGATTGTATGCATGTATAGGTGTATAGATTGAGGTCTTTTGAAATAATGGGTCTTTTGCAGAATACGGTCACATGGTACAAAAAACACCCTGCTGGATGGCAAACGGCTAGTCTCCTTGACGGGTAGGAGAGAACCTTGGTAATAAGGTTGGCCGGAGTCACGCAAGCTCCCCGCGCCCACGCCCTACGTGACTCCGGCCGGAGCCGCGGCTGCGAAGGAGACTAGCAAACGACGCACTAGGACCTTGAACTGATGTAATTTTTTGTTTTTCTTGTCCCCTACGTCGTTTTCCATCCAGCAAGGTGTTTTTTGTACCATGTGCACGATTATATTCTGTAAAAGGCGTATTGATATTAATTAATTTGGTTGGCTTAAGGAGCTGTGTCAGGCATTTTATCCGAATTCAACCTTAAAGGATTTGGCCATCAATTTGAGTGAAGTAGTATATTTAATAATCAACCCTCCATTTTTTTATACTTAGGAAAGCAAATACAAAAGAAGGTAAGAATTGACAAAAATGAACAAGGAAATAACACCGCTAACAATCGGCGTAAGGGGTTTAAGAGGTCTACAGCCTGTCAGTTTTTTAACGTCTTTCTCTGTTCTTCGGTCAGGAAGGAACATTTGTTTGTCCTTAAGCTGTGATTTTGTCTATTAGACTTTTAAATAAAAGCAAACGTCTTCCACCCGCGAGTTCGTGGACAAAGTTAGAAATACGCTCGGAAATCAATCAATCAATCAATCTTTATTCCTCCTACTAATGCGCACTAACAAGCTTACGAGCTAACGAAACTGCCGCGACAAAGCTCTTGGTTATATTATTATGCGAATGTTCAATAATTCATGGACTCTAAAAAGTTTGAATACTCCTCCTTTTATATATGTAGTCCACCAAATGTTATTACAATAGATAATCATACGCATTTTAATAAGACAGATCGTTTCCAGGGAACGTCTTCGATAGCCTTCTGCGTAGGCCTTTTTGTGAGGGGAGGGGAAACGACTTCCCTTAACACTTAACAACGACTGCTTGAGAGGCACATTTCTCCATGCTGAGCCGTTACTGTCACTTCTCGTTACCTCACTAAGAAGGGGCGAGTAGGCGAGTCACATATCCATGAGAGGAAATTGTACTCTTATTTCTGAGGTTAAACTTCCTGTAATCAGCATCTTTTGCGAAAGAAAGAAAACTGATGAAGTTTCCCCATTTACATAACGGCTTTCTCCTTTAAACTTATTTTTAAAACGCTTGATTGATCTTAAGAGAAAGGGATTGTAAGCAGTATAATTTGGATTGCTCAGGTTAATTGAACTGCTTCACTTCTATAGTGTAACCTGTATCAAGTAGACCACACCCATATTCAGTGAACACAAGCAGCCCATTGTGTTCTGTCCATACAAAGCCGTTTCTCGTTTAAGACAGATGCCATCAAGACCGTCACTTAGTGTCCATTTTAATGTTCACCTGACTGTTCACCTTATAGAGAATCAAAGAAAATGACTAAATACCATTCCCTCTGATGGCTAGCGCTAGACTACCCAGCTTTTCAATCTCTTGTGTACTGTATCAAACCTGTTTCGTTGGCTGACCTTTATGAGCCGTCGTTTGGTGATTTCTGGTGGCCTTTGTAGAATGGGTAAGCTTAAGCCATCACAGTTCAGTCGTCTAATAGACTGTGTAGAGCCCCCCCACCCCTTCCCCTCAGGAAAAATCGCCCTTTCTCCTATTTTTTCCTGGGGGGAAGGGGGGCGGTACACAGGCTAGTGGTCTAATGACAGAGTACCAAAATAAACAGCGCAAAGAAACTTTAGTTCAAAGACAAACCGTTGTCAAACTTGGCCATGGCCTGCTTTTTAATAGCTAGTAGGTTGATGTTGTCGATTGCCTTTGTGTGCCCTCTTTATGGGCGCTAGACGGAAGATTCTGCAACATTTTTTAATTTTTTTTTATTTGTAGTTTATCTGTTATATTAGGATTGATCGGTGGTATTTATAGATCCATCGTTAACAAGGTCACCGAAATTGGTAAGTATTAGTTCTAGGTGCACAAACACATTTCTTAGTGCACAAATACATTACTTCGGTGCAAAAATATATTTCTCAATGCACAAACACACTTCTCTAAGAGATTTATTTGTGTACTACTAGGGTGCACTACATACGAGCTGAGGTATTTGGCCTCGACAGGAGCTCATAATCCGGAACGGGCAACTTCCAAGGACACGTTTATTTTTAGAACCTTTATTATTAGTATTTTTTTTTTTTTTTTTTTTTTGCCAATTTTGAAAATCATTTAAATTCCACAAACCAGTCGGCAAAACCTACAGACCCAAAACTGATATTTTTTGCTTTTTAATAACGTTTAGTTTTCGTATTTGATATCTACCTCGAATGCGCTCGTAGACCTGGTGGAGATTCTAATTTCGTGGGAAAAAGTGCCGGAGATGTGTCTGAAAATAAACTGGGGCCCGTTTCTCGAAAGTCCCGATAATTAACGGGCCCGGTAAGCTGTCGCCGTTTACATTAAAGATTGAGGTTTCAACAGTTTTGCATCCAACACCATAAAACTGTCAGTTAATGAAACAAGATGGAGTAGTTTGCTAGCCAGGACCCGCGTTCTTATTCTTTATATTTCGATTTGAATATTTGATTTCGGGCCCGTAAAGTTACCGGGACTTTCGAGAAACAGGCCCCTGGGGCCCGTTTCTCGAAAGTCCCGGTAACTTTTCGGGCCCGAGATCAAATATTCAAATCGAAATATCAAGAGTAAGAGCGCGGGTCCTGGCTAGCAGACTACTCCATTTTGTTTCACTAACTGATGGTTTTATCATGCTAGATGCAAAACTATTGAGACCTGGATCTTTAATGTAAACGGCGACAGCTTACCGGGCCCGTTAATTATCGGGACTTTCGAGAAACCGGCCCCTGGGGCCCGTTTCTCGAAAGTCCCGATAATTAACGGGCCCGGTAAGCTGTCTCCGTTAACATTAAAGATCAAGGTTTCAATAGTCTTGCATCTAACATGATAAAACTATCAGTTAATGAAACTAAATGGAGTAGTTTGCTAGCCAGGACCCGCGCTGTTATTCTTTATATTTCGATTTGAATATTTGATTTCGGGCCCGAAAAGTTACCGGGACTTTCGAGAAAGTCGAAAGTCAATTCTGCTAATTCCATTCCTTTCGGGCCCGTTTCTCGAAAGTCCCGGTAACTTAACGGGCCCGGAATCATATTTTTGAATCAAAGTCTCAAGAAAAGTAGGGTGTGTTCTGTCCTCTAATGAAGTCCATTTTGTTTCGTTAGCTAATAACTCTACTGTATAATTTTCAAAACTTCTAAAACTCCCTTCTAAAATGGAAAACAAAACAGCTAAAATGGAAAACAAAACAGGGCCCGAAACAAATCGGGAGCCCGGGTCCTGATTACTCCATTTTGTTTCATTAACTGACAGTTTTATCATGTTGGATGCAAAACTATTGAAACCTCGATCTTTAATGCAAACGGAGACAGCTTACCGGGCCCGTTAATTATCGGGACCGGGCCCCTGGTCCGTAAAAAACTCCGCCGTGGGATCCTGGCATAGAAGTGGTGTCCTGTGGAGCGGCAGAGAGAGACCGGGTCTATTCTCTCTGTTGCCAAGAAACTGGCCCTGTTTTTCTCGGCGCCATATTGAAAATTTGTTGCGAGAGAAGAATATCTTGTCATTTTATGTCAAACTTCTTCATTTAAACTATGCCGGCTGCTAATCTGGTGGAACAAAAACCAAAAAAGGAAGAGGACAATTATCCAAGGTAACAAAATATAACAGAGCCTTACGATATGGTGTGGCGGATTTGTGCAAGTATCAGATGAGCCTTCGCAAAAAATGATTTCTTATTAAGTTAATAAGCTTACTGCGTGCTATTTTAAATCACTTTACAGAATCACAAAGAAGCTTCTATTTCAACTCTGCAAAGAACATAAGTTGTATAGGACACCATACCTCAATGATGTTCTTTATCTTCACTATAAAGGTAGGTAATGTGGTTGCATGTAAATATTAAGTATTGGAGCTTAAGTTTATGAAAAAATGAAATGAGAACTGCTGGGTTATTGCCAAATTATAAAGGTTTATATGGTAAAGTGAACGACTTTCAAATCGTGCATGTGGCAGTTATTGCTGGATTACAGTAACTATTTAATAATCATTGCCTTTAACTCATTTTTGACTGACAGGCTTTGCTAAGATAGAAAACCTAGAGGAATACAGTGGACTGAAGTGTCTGTGGTTGGAATGCAATGGAATTAGCAGAATTGAAAATCTCGAAAACCAGAAAGAGTTACGATGCCTGTGAGTATTTAGAGTATTATGAGTATTGTACAAGAGGGTTCCTTGATGAGGAGGCTGCATATTAAATTCCAACTACATAACACATTATGCCTTTGCAAGGAGGAAATAAAAAATATTTACTTTAGTCTTGTTTTACTGGACTTATCAGGATCAAATGGCCACATCTGCGGTTGTGAGGGGTGGTTGGTATGGGGTGTAACAGAACACTTTTTGGACAGATACAAATTTTTAAATAAGAAACAAAACAAGGTAAGTAAGGTGAAGCTTAAGAAAACAGCCAACATGCTGTTATTTCAATGCTAACACAGGAATGAATGCAGAAATTCCATACTCATGATGTGCCACTATCCAGATTTGGGTAGTGCTTCTCTGATCAGATGAAGCAAACTTTCAATCAATCAGAAGCACTACCAGATCTGGTTAGTGGAATGTCGTCAATATGGACTTTCTCTGTTCATTCCTCAGAAGTCATTTTGCAAGGAAACCAGTAATGGAGTTGCAAAATGTCAACTGCATTTTCAGGCTAAGTACGTTTTCAAGATGCAGTCAGCACATTATTTCCCCAGCTTGATCGCACTCAGTTTAGCAGCCATTGACATGTAGTGAGGAGGCCATTGTTGAGCTTAAAACAAGACTGAATGTATGGAATGTTAACCACAGCAAAACAAAGAGGCCATTGTATGAGTACAATGTATTAAGGCAGCTTTTGGTAGAGTTTGAGGGTATCAGACTTGTTGATCTTATCTAATTAAAGATGTGTTTAATACTATTGTTTGAATTTAGGTATCTTCAACAGAACCTACTAACAAAGCTTGAAAATGTAGAGCATTTGGAATACTTGGACACACTGAATGTGAGCAACAATACAATTTCCAAGATTGAAAATATCAGTAAGTGTTAAACTACATTGTTTAATAAAATGTTGGATATGGGCATACTGTATATTAACAATGCATATCAATCTATTCAATTAACCAGTGCATCTGGGTTGTAGAGGGAATTTTTAAAAAGGAATCTTTAGGAAATAAAATGAGCTTGCCAGCAGAAAATAAATAGCAATAACTGTTCTAGGCATTCTGCAGATAATATGAGGACCTGCCAGTCCCCAGGGGTGGGTACTCCCAGAAAAATTTGATTGGGTGTGTGCGGCATGCAGAAACCCTTTAAAACCCTATTTCAGACCAAAATCTGTGATTTTCCCTACCTTATTTCAGACCTGATAAAAAATTTGATAGATTACCCTATTCCAGACCTGACCCTTAAATCAATACCCTATTTCAGACCTGCCTTATATAATCAGTTCCCTAGGTCAGACCAGTGTTAAAGGCAATGTTTGTACACTTTTATTAAGTAGGAAACAAAACTGTACAAAGTTTCGAGCTTCAAGTTCCACACTATAAAGCAAGTTGCATGATGCGTCATCATAAATACAGAATACTGGCCTACCTAAGGACTAGATATCACATACTATACCCTATTTCAGACCAAAATAGTCAAACTTGATACCCTATTCCACACCAAAATGGCTAAAAAGAACATACCCTTTAGCCTTTATAAGGGAGTATCCCCCCGCACCTTCCCTGGGCTACCAGCACACAGTTAAAAATGTGCAAATAAATTATTAATGTTTAATTTACTCTTTGATTTTAAGAAACTTTATATAATATGTTATAGCTAACAAGTAAGGTGCTTATCCATATTAAACAGGTGGTATTCCTAAACTAAGCACGCTTCAAATATCACACAATCGGTTATCAACTGCTGATGACTTAAGGCATTTAACAGAATGTCACAATCTCAGGTACGAGTTAAAATGTATTCGAAAAACTGCTACCTATGACACACTTGAGCAAGCTGGTTTAACTAATAACTAGGGACAAAGGCCACTGAATTGAAGGCAGCAGGTGCACGCAGCCAAAACTGATAGCAATATTGACTGAGCAAATAACTGAAATAAATTTTACTAACAAAAAAACAACCAAATACAATTTTAGTGTACAGTGGTTTTCTGTTGAATACTCACATCCGAGACTTGCATCCAGGATGTATTAATTAAAAACAAGAGAGCATGTGAAGATCAGTGTACTTGTTGCTACTGAGTGTTAGGATGGCCATGATTGAAGTTAATTAATTTCACAACCCTCTTTGTTGGTTTTCTATACAATGATGAAAAGAGAGTTTGAAATGCACCACCCTCACATCCAATGACATCACAGGTTACCTGACGACCAACCCAATAATATCACAATTTATGTTAAACAGAATGTCAAGATCACAGGTTTTCATAATGTATTCAAGAAATTATAATATTATACTATTGGGAAAAAAAGCCAATGACATTACAGGTTAAATGACAGACGACCAATAACGTCATGACTTAATTGACTAGTCACGCCAATAACCAGAGTTTATTACCATCAACTGAGGAAATAAACTCATTTTGATTTTTAAAGATAATAGCGTGGCACGGGTTGTATAAACGTTAGTCACTGCATAACATCACACCATTCTAAGACAGACAGCCAAATAAGAGTGCAATAGATGTAAATTCTTTTTTACAGGACACATCTATCTTTGCCACACACATGCATTTGTGATAAATTATTATTGTTCCAATTTCCACAGTGTATTAGATGTATCGCACAACAGAATTGATGATCCTGAAGTTCTGGAAGTTCTTGCATCTATGAAAAATCTTGTAAGTCCTATGTAGGCTCTTCAGTTTTGTCCATACATTTATGTAATCTATATGTTACATAGTTAATTTTTATCTCAGGTAATTTTTCTTTTTCTTTTATTTCAACTTCATTAGCATACATTACCATACCCAAAAACAAAAGAAAAACAAAAATTACCTGAGATAAAAAATTAGCCACAACATGTGTGTTGTGGCTCAATTTCATTCTTGGTTTAAATTTTATTTCATTTTGTTTTAATGTATGATAATGAGTTTAAAACAAAGGCAAATAAAATTTAAAACAAGGATAAAATTGAACCACAACATATATATACCTACATTGCTTGAATTTTGTGGGTACATTTATGTTGTGTTTATTTATAAACACAGTGATCACACTTTTCAGATCCCTCATTAAATGAAAAATAGGATCTGTATCGGAGGTTTCTGAGCAAGCACTGTAATTTTGTGGGATCCATTTAGCTTTCTGGGAAACTGCCCTCCTAACCCTCCCCTAACCCAACATTTTCCCCAAGTGAGACCTACAAGTTAAGATTGAGTTACGGGAGGGGTAGGTTGGCAGTTTTCCAGAAACCTAAATAATTTGATCCATTTTGTGCCTAAGGTCTACTTTCTTGACTTGCTCATTAACCACTCTGTTAAACGTTGCTGCAGTTACATGTTGTGTAAGCACTCATATATCTACTTTAATTGAATGAGGTTAAAGACAGTACCACTTTAAATCAAATGATCAGCAAAATTTGACTTTTAATTGTTTCTTTTCCCAAATGACCAGCATGTTCTCAATATGATGGGTAATCCAGTTATAAAGAAGGTCAAGAACTACAGGAAAATGTTCATCATTAAAATAGTGAGTAATCAGTGGTTTTCCTGGTTTTTTTTCCACAAAGTACTGTGGTCAGTCAAATGAACCAATGAAAGTTCCTTACTCTTTCTTTCTTAATTTTATTTTTTCTTTGTTTTGTTTTTTTGCCCACGTTTCCATTCGTTTCCGCGCTGTCGCACTCTCATTTTAACGAATTATGTTCACTATATATTTTTGTTGTTGTTGTCCTCTGTAGAAAGAGCTCCGATACCTAGATGACAGACCAGTTTTTCCAAGGGAAAGGGCCTGTGCAGAAGCTTGGTGAGAATTAACGATCAACAATTCTAACAGTTTTATCATTTGACGATATTCACGTGTTCAAATACTCAAAAACTTGACTCTGTTAGTTGCTGTGTGTGTTTTATATATATATATATATATATATATATTTCCTTTTTTTTTTTTTTTTTATTCTTTCGCTTTTTCATGAGTGTGTGTTCGATCTTGACGTGTATTTGTATTTTTGTAAATATTCAAATTTAACCAGCATAAGCTCTCTAGGTGAGCCCTTTAGGCTCTTAGAGCAAATGTTGCAATAAATATGTTTATCAAAAAAAAAAAAAAAAAAAACACGTCCTCCATCACATTAGTTATCCGATTTTTCCCAGGACTCATCAGAGAGTGCACTGGATTTTTGTTTTTGCAAATAAGTCATTTTTGAAATCGCTTTTTCACGTTTTTTGCGTGTTTTTATTTTTTCTTTTGTTCCCAGTTTTCGTGTGTTGGTCCATTGTGGAAAAAGTTTAAAATTCTGCAAAGTTTTATGCCTCAGGGAACCCAAAGTACTTTTTTTTTCCAAAAAACTTGTCTCTTTTGATCGTTAAAGCCATTTTTTTCCTTTTGCGTTTTCCCCTTCATATTAAGATAAGTAGTTGTATGTGTAAACGGAAATTTCTGGACAGTTTCTCTGCATACTTGAGACTTGACTTTGGAAAATGAAAGTCCGCGTTGATTGCTAAGTGTAGCTCACGATTACATGTTTGAGCAAGACTTGACCTGTAAGATTCCGTTATTATTAATTAACAACACTTTCACGTTTTGTGTTGAGCGATACCATTATCAGTCATATTGTGTGCAATGTACTGATATTGTTTCACAAAGCGTTAATTTTATTAACGTTGTGTAAATTAAAGGGAAAAGGGAGGAGTGGAAGCTGAACGAGCAGAAAGGGAACGATGGATCACAAGAGAACAACAAAAGATAATGGACAGTGTTAATGGTACGGCTTCATGTCTTTATGATAGTTTGAACCCCACTCTCTAACAATGTCCGGTGACTCTTTTACTGGCTATGATACATGTTTATACCCTCTAGAATACAACAGAAGTCAGTACCAGACAGACAACCAGCACTCGGGATCTAGAATCATGAATACTGGATGTCAAAAACTCAGATTTTTAGCTGAATATGCAGGGGTTTTGAGCTTGTTACAACTGTACATAGGATAGGCCACGGCCAAACGTGAATAACGTAAAGAAATTTCTTTGCTAACTTTTATAATCTCCGCCATTTTCTTAGCCTCTGACGCGCAGACGTACTTACGGCTTCCTCACGCGTTTCGTCCTCACGAACGTGGGAAAGAAGGCGTTACTAAGCCCTTAGAACGCCTGCGTGGGAGGCTTAATACCATTTTATTTATCAGTCAGGGGTAAAGCTTAATTGTGACTTGGTCACGTGCATTTTCCCGCGCTCGACGTCACCTACATGTATTTGCATTGAGAACTGATTGATTCATTTAAATATCACTTTGAATTCTGATTGGCCAGAAAAATACTTTGATTTTACGACACTCAGTTGAAAAGAGTAAGTTCACCTCTTGTACTGCCATCGCAGAAGTAAGTGGGATATAGCTTGAGGCTAGGCTCTCTTTTCGTCTCCCCGTGTGAACTAAATCTCTGTAGAAAGCTGTGCATAAGAATGTGAGAGTCAAAAATTAATCCCAATCGCATTCTGACGTGAGTGTGAAACGCATTGTACATACAGAATGCTTATTTTTCTTGTTCCAATACGAAACATCTTGTAGTTCTGTTCTTGTTAGCTTCCGAGTTTTATTTGTTTTAGCTTCTAAATGTACAGTGATATAACTTATTTCATCCGTGTTTTTCCCGTCTATATCCACAGCGTTGTCAAAAATAAGAGATAGAAGAACGAAACAAGAAAATGTAAGCAGTTTGTATATTTTGCTGATTTAGGAACAGAACGGGAACTTCAGTTGACGACGGCGAGCGCAAATTAAACAAATGGCTTGACCAATGGCAGAGCGGCAAATTGGGCGCCGGAAGTCGTGTTTAGTCCTTTCCGCGCGCTTTCCCGTCGCCAACTGACGTTCCCGTCCTACAACAAAAAGGGCCAGATTTGACTAAATGAACACCCCCAAAAAGATTCATCTTACTTTGTTTTACCAGAAATGTTGGCACTGTCATTTTAGTGTATTGAAGAAGGTAAAGCCCTCATCTGGTCGCAAAATGATAAAACTCTAAAATTCGATAACTTGTTTCCGTCACTACGGCATTTTCGCCACAGCCTTAAGCAAAATGACGACAGCTATCGCGTTTTCCCGCCAAAATAACGCTGGTTCTCGCAGCAACCAGTATTAAGAAATCTCGTTCTCGACGTGGTCCTCGTTTTGGAATCTAAAAGTTTTCAATGCGTGGTCCTGTATAATTTCGGTAAAAATGGCGTGGAAAGAAGGGGATCGCGTTAAGTTCCCTCTCCTCTTCTCTTTCCTTTCTTTTTCTTTTTCTTCTCCCTCTTCTTCTGCTTGTTTTTTCTCGCCTCCTGCCCAAGAAGACTGAACTTAGACATTTAACACCACATTTTAGCAGAATGTTACAGGCGAAGAAAAAGAGGAGGAAACTTCAGATGTTAGTGAAGAGCTGAGCGAAGATAGTGAATTTGAAGACAAAGAAGACAATGATCAAAGACCAGCCAGCCGACAGGAGACTGGGGATAGTATGGTCAGTAGTTCATCAGAGGATATGGAGACTATTAGCGTTGCAGTCAAGTCACCAACTCACAGCCAGTTCTTAGCTCCTCAAGGAATCTTCAGTGCACCTCAGTCATCTCAAGGACAAAGGACAGCTGGTCCTTTGATAACAGAAATTGTTACAGGAGGAGGTAATTATTAATTGCCATTTATTTTGAGATCAAACGGGTATTCTTTCTCTTATACCGCCCTCCAGCTTTAGATGGGTATCCCCTCCCCGCAACCAGCCTATCTAAGGGGCTGTTTACGTGGAAGGAGGAAGACCGTACAGTCGAACCTGTATTAAGCGGCACCGTATTAAGCGGTCACCCTCTATTAACTAAAATAGGAAATATATGGTGCTCGGATGATCCGTCTTCTAGGTTCGCCCTCGCTTCATGTAAACAGCCTCTGGATGGAATGTTACCGAAACCTTTTTAATGGCATATAAAGGAAATACTAATTTGGACATTTTTTCCTTAGCGTTGTATGAAAATATGTTTAACGCTTGGCCTTCTATACGGTTCCTTTGTCAGATAAAGAAGAGAAGCAAAGTAAAGGCGAAGGGGTGTTGATTACCGAGCTGGATGGTATGTGGAGTCGTATGTAGCTAAACGAGCCATGCGGCGTGAATTACGTATTTTCTCGCATAGATAGAAAAACAACTTGGAATGTTCCTCTTGTGCTAAATAGCCTCCGTCACAGCTGACATGCCGCCAAACTGGATGTATAATACCCCCTAAAGTCATGTAGAGCGATTCAGTTGCAGCAGAGCTTCAAAACAAATTACGTTATTTCTTTGGCTTCCTGAATGGTTGAAATATGTCGAACCACTTTTTCAACCAATCAGAAGTAAAACCACAGTAAATATTGACTCGCTTTCATTCGTTTTCCCGCGCTTAGCGTCGGCGGGCTAAATAATGTGTATCTGCTTCGACTTCTGATTCGTTTATTTGAACTTCTTCGCCTACTGTGATTGGCTAGAGTAATATGTGGTCGAGTTTGGTTTAAGACACTCGCTTGAAAATCGACCAGATGACTTCAGTATGATTATAGGTCCGAGTCGTGTTCAGGTCTGTTTCAGGGTAAAGATCTTTGCCACCCCGTTGCTCTTATGAAACCTCCTTTCTCGTCAAGTGTATTTTTAGCTCCTCCATCAGTTACTTTCCGGGTGGTCATCTCGCGTCCTTCACCCAACTCGGGATCGCGCCTGCATTGACCTACGCCGTCAGCTGTAAATGTGGTGGACAGATCATCTGAACAAAGGCCACCCATTTTCATGCTAGCAAAACTTTTCCATTTCCGTCTCACGTCTTCGGTCATCCTAAATGCTTTGTTTAGTGGGCGAGCTGTTCTTTGTCGAAGCGGCTGTTAACGTTTTAATTTGACAATTTTTCCGAACTTGTTGTTATCCTCGCCCCGGGCCAGTCGTTTCCTTTGGTCAGGTTTCGTTCTCATGCGAAAACTCGGGAAAATAGCCGGGTGGCTCTGGGGACGAGAAGGGGAGTTGGCAGACACACGATGATTGAATTCGTATCTTTTTTTTCTTATTTTTGTTGCCTTATTTAGACGACGATATTGAAACAATAACACTGCGCGAGGTACCTACAGAACATACCACGAAGGGGTTTCTAGATCTACAAGAGGTTGGTAGACTTATTAGCTGGAGAATTTTTCTCTCATGTTTATTCTTTTCTCTCTTCCCTGTGTACTTAAAGCATTAGATCTATCCGAGAATGAGAAAAGGAATTTGCTGGAGCATCGATAGATTTGATGCAAAACCCGGCAATTCAATTAAAAGACAAGTCAGTCAGTCCATCCGTGTGTAATTTTGAGTCATTCACCAAGAGAACTTTAGTCAATCCCTGTTAATACGGAGACCAGAGCCCCGTTTCTCGAAAGGCCCGGTAACTTTGCGGGTCCGAAGGCATGAAATTTTTGAATTAAAACCTGTTGAATAGTAGCACAGTTCCTAGCTCGCAAACCGGGAAATTTTGCTTCGTTAATTGATAGTGGCATTGTATCATTTTCAAAATTATTGAAACTTTGATTTTAAATTCAAACACGACAAGCATGAAACAGTTTTTCGGGCCCGAAAAGTTATCGGAGCTTTCGAGAAACTGGCCCCAGGAGGCCATAGATTAGCGGGGTGTCAGTATTAAGCGGGTTGAATTTAGAGAAAATGTGAGGGCTTTCTTTCCACAGGAACGAAGCAAACTTAACGTAGTAACGAGGTGTCCGTATTAAGCGGGTGACTGTCCGCAAAAGTGGAGATTGACTGTAATCAGTAACTAATCCCTTTTGAAACTGAAAACACTAAAACCCGCAGCCTCGTTCCCAGTCGTCCTCGGCGACTTCTTATGTGACGTCACCTGTGGGTTCCAAGCCTCCTTTGGTCACTCGGATAGCACGAACTGGCCTGGGTACGGACACTATCTCGTTATTTTTAAACGACAAATATTAGATACATAATAATTTACAGTTTCAAACTCTTCTGCAAGAATACAGTTTTACAATGTGACGACCACTTTTTGTAGGATTTGCCTGAGCTCGAGGAAGTAGACGTGGAAGACCCTTTGTTCATTCGCAGCTTAAACTCATCTCGTGTGGGGGTAAGTGTTTTGCCTTTTTGTACTAGCTTTCGGTCAAGAAGTCAATTAAGTTGACAATCAAATTGTCGGACTTTATTGCCGTGATTAACCGCTGAACGACCGGTCACATTTTTTTCTGGTTTGTCCCTAGTCCCTGGATCTACCCAGCGAAAGCAGTGTACATGGTGCTAGGAAGTTCCTCATGCAAGGATCTTCCAGCTAGGAAGATCCTAGTGCTTGGAATAAGTATATGTACAACCCCATTTTCAAGTAAACTGAATACAGAAAACATATGGCGCTATAGGATGATCCGCCTCTTTAGGATCTTCCTGGTGCTAGGATATTCTTCCCTCCATGGAAACAACTCCTAACATTTGACAAATTGAACGACATGATTTAATAGCGATTAATTTTAAAACCGCATGAATTAAGCTCCTTATTGACTTGTGTTTCAACTATTAGGGAAAACCGCTGATCGAGGAACTGGATGATGATCCAGAGAAAACAAAAAGACCACTTGTTCAGGAATGCAGAGTACCTAGCATCTCTACCAGTGACGAAGCATTGATCGCACATGAACGAAGACCAGTGATTGAAGAAATAAACGAAAGGTTTTGTCAGTTTAGTCACGCAGCTGACAAACCTGTCAGGCCTCTTATTGAAGAACTTGGCAAAGAAGATCACATTAAGGATGATGATGCAAAAGCCTCGATTATAGAGGTGTCACGTGACTCGTCAGAACAAGAGGGTATCACTGCTGAACAAGAAGGGCTCGGGATCAACACCGCTGGTCAAGGAAGCGCTTGTTGGGAAACACTCCAAAAACTGGCAGAACAAGTGGGGTCAACAGTAGACCGAAAACCAATCGATATAGCAAAAGAGAAGAGGGATTTTGTCAAAAGAATGCAGCATACGAATCTGGGAGACTTGGACTGAAAAAATAATGCATTTGTAACAATTGTCATGAAAACTCAGTACAGCTCCACGATATAGAAATCATCCTTGCGTTCGAGAAGCAGAAATTTCATGTCTGTAAAAAACTTTGGTTTCGATTTCCAGCAGTTTTGCAATTTCATTTCACTCTGAATGGACTGTCAGTGGCGCCCTTGTATGCTGACGTCCGTTCTTCCTCGTGTAAAGAGGACTCGTCTTGTTATCCTCTAATCCACGACATTACATTACATTACATTACATTGATACGGAAGAACGTAGCCTGCGTGGCAGGCGTTAGAAGGGGAAGGGGGAATTTGGGCGCGCGAGAGCGCGTGGGGCACACGAGGGAAAAAAGAAAGGAACGAATTGTTAGTTCCCTTCCGCTTCCCTTTTGAACGCCTGCCATGCAGGCTAGGAAGAACGCGGTTTTCGAACACTTCTTGAAATCAAGTACACCCGGACTGGCTATTGAAATGATAATCCGTAAATCTGTGTTATTGCAATGCTCTGTGTCTGTAAATCGTGCGATGGAAATGTTACTCCAAGGTAAAGTATTTTAAAAATAGAAAATGTTAAGTCATCCAAGAGGAATATTCGACTCTCTCGTCGAGTTTCCGCCTTCTCGTCCCTATAAATAGTTTGTTCGTGATGTTTTAGGTTGTTGTGTATATATTTACATAAGCTTTGACATGTGCAGAGAAGCAACAATTTTGAACACCTTTGTTTTAATAAAAAGTTATTGTCAGGTGAATTATGGCGAATGGTAAACGAATGTTACTGTAATAACTGTAAAATAAGCTTCTGACAGCCTAGTGTCGGTTTTTTTCGTCAAGTTTTGTTCGGGGTTAGGCACAAAAATGGCCGGAGTTTATGATCTAGCCTTTCATCAGATTCCTGATTTTCCTAAACAATATTTTTATATTTTAATTCATAAGATGAGTTGTCATGGCAAAAAGAAGTGGTCGGTGGCAGGGAGTTGCTATTCGGGTTGTTCAAAAGAGAAAACTTGTCTCCCAGTTTGGGATTTCCTTATTTTTATGACCACTGTTTCCTTTTTTCAATTATTTTTGTGTTAATATTCCTGTATTAATTCTTCTGACAACCCCCCGCTATTGTCTTTTGATAGATTAAGAATTCGTATAGCAGTAATTGGGTGAAAATTTAAAAGTGGCATTTCCCTGCTTGTGCTGCTAATGTCATGTGCCTGGTCTGAAATGGTCAAACAAAGAATACAAGGTAAAAAACCTATTTTGCTAATTTGATAAGTTATTCTCCCGACAGGTGGAACTAAGCAGATAAATGTATGGGTTTTTCTCACGAAAACACACGTTTCGTATAAATCATAACAACCGATCCTCTGTTCATTAGAAAGTCGAGTCGTCTGTTAGAGGATCGCGTTTTATTACAGGTAAATCGCCATCTACTTGAAGCCTTTAAATAGTCTTCCCATTAAGGTTAGTCGTCAACGAAATTTCTTGCAAACTTTACAGAAATCGCTTTGGGGGAAGGCTAGGTAGTTGCGACTAAAACGAGACGATAGCAGAAAGTAAGCTGTTTCTCATTTGTCCTTTATTCTGTGCTTAGTTGTTAAGCTAATAACCGAGTTATCTCTGACTTATTTGGCAAGTTTCAATCGGAGAATTTTTATGAAGGATGAGAAAAAAATCACTAAGTAGATTTTGCCTTTGTCCGCTCCGAGCAAAGATGGACAAAAACTATGTTCAACGCATTTTTGCTAAATTGTATAATAAGGTGCAAAATCTGATATTTCAAATCAAATGTACATGCAAGCGTACGAGCGTTTTGTAGTTCGGGAAGACTGAAAGACTGCTCCATCCCTCTCTATTAGATAAAAACATTTTTTAAGATTTAAACTCAGAACCGGTTTGCAAATAGGTTTTCAGCGTTCGTTTGCCAATATCCCTGGCTACCTTTTTTAGTTTTTATTGGTATTTGTAATCATTTTTTCAAATGTTACAATAATATTGTAAGGATTTATGTATCCAACGTTTAATTTGTTTCTGAAATCGACAAGGACAATTTGTTACGGAACCACATACAGCGCAACCTATTAGCGATTATTCTCGGTTTTCACTGTCACGCAATCAAAAATAAAATTGCAAACCATTCAATACAGAAAGTCCCGAATCTAGGAAATAAAAGAAGATAAATAAGCAAAAGGCCTCGCCAAGAATCAGGTCTGTGCGATATTTCATATGCGAGATATTAGGAAAAACGTTTTACCCAAATTTACAAAGCTTTGTATGGCGACGCCATGTTTGTGTCCCTTTGCGGGGCACAAATATGGCCGCCGGAAACCAACAGAAACATCTGTTTTTGATTTTTCCTACTAATGCGTTAATTCATCGCTTGAAAAACTCATAAACTATTAAAGTGATATTTATTCTGAGACAAAGAATGTTTAGACAGCAAAATCTCCCAAAATTGGTAATGTTTTTAACCCACATAAGAGCCGTTGTGGCCGCCAGCTAAATGCCGCGTCACGCAAAAGCCTAGAAATTCAAACGTCCTCTATCGCAAAACGAAGAACCCTTTCGAACCAAAACTCTGTTTAAATAAAGGTGTTTAGGTGCTGTAATACCTCATGAAACTCAGAAACTCAGAAGAATCGATAGTTTCTTAGTTTGAATTTTGGTGACGTCATGTGAAAACCGAGAATTGAATTCCGCCTTTTTCAGTTTTAGATCTGCATTCAGATCCGTATGCTGATCTACACTGTTAAAGCAAAAATGATCTCTCTCAAATTTCTTTTGAAATGCAATTTAAGATAGAAGTTCAGATATTTGCGACCTTAAATGTGCGCAGATGTGAATCGGTTCATCATCAACTTTTCGTCCTCATTTCTAAAGTTATTAAGTTTGGGATGATTATTTTTCATCCTGAAATGACCACGCGCAGCGCTATCTTTGGTTATCTTTTACTGTCTGCAGAATGTCCCCTATTATGTTTTAATTATTCATAAGTCATTCATGAACGATGATTGATAACAAGTCTATTTAGGAATGCGAAAAAGCCATTCACATTTACTGACCCATATACCGAATAGGAAAGTTATCTAAAGGTTTTATACAAGCTCCAAAAATGACTACTAAAAAAACACACTAAATTTCAACAAAAGCATAGCAAAATAGCTTTCATCGGTGGTGCGTGATACATTTCATGCGGCGATTTTCCTTATAACCACGAAACTAACCACGACCTTTTCCCACTGGGAAGCGTATTGAATTTTCCAAAAGAAAATCACATACACTGTATTGTTACTCTCTTAATAGAATGCTCCCCCAATAGAAAGAATCAGCAAGGGTAATTCATGGTTAATTTTACGAATGGTTTGTTAGAAGGTGAAAACATAATTAGTCAGTTTTTCTCTTCTTTTTTGAAAGTTTTGTTTAACAAAATAAATTTGAAATCGCCGGTGATTTCTGGTGAGTGAAGTCAGAGCTGGAATCGACCGATAGTAAAGTGGGATCATGTTGAAACATCTCCCTAAGCTTTTGTGGGTTTGCGTGCCGTGGTGATCGTGTATAAGCTATATCAGTTGGGACCCGACGAGGTCAACCGTGTTAATTCGTCTGGTCTTTCACCCAAAACCTGCCCTGCAACGCCTGGCCCTCCAGGTTGGGGGCTGGGTGATGAGTTAATATCCCATCCCCATAAAAAGGTATCATAACTGAAACCAGACACACTTTTCAAGATAGCAGGCTGCGAACTGTAGAGGTCTGCATAACGGAGCGTGAAGAAGCAAGGATGCTTAAGAAAAAACTCTTATTGGAAGGCGTCTGAGTCTTGGTTTAAATGGTCAAAACCATAGACCTTCTCACGGGTTTGAAAACCATCTTATATTTAAAAGTTATTCCACGAGTCGGCGCGTTGGATATCAGATGGTTGTAGCCAATGAGGCGCTTAGCGCCGAGTTGGTTACAATCATCTCATATCCAACAAGCGCGAGTGGAATAATTGTTTTATTAAAAACGCCCACAAAATATTGAGAATTCTTCCAGACTTTATTTGTAAAAGCAACCGATTTTACCAGAATTTGGAGAGCATGGTATAATGGCTCATATAGCATGATGGCTAAGCCAATCAGAGCTCTAGAATTGTATTATCCAATGTATGGTTCAGTTTTTAATTTTTTTTTCACCTGTAATATCGAGTTGGCAAACGTCCGAAAAATAGCAGTTTTTGTATGAGAATCTAATGTCGAATAATTTCCGTAAAACGGCTGTTCTGAAATATACACAGCAAAGAAGTACACCAACATGTTTTGGGGGCTGTACCTGTGCTTAAATTTCTCCACTCGCTTGCTTTAAGTTTAAGTTTATTTATAAAAGATGATACATAAAAACTGCCGTACAATCAATCCGACTGGCCTGCACGTAGATAAACTAATCGAGGAAGGTCAGTCTCACAAGTTCTAAATATTACAGATTTCAGTGAAAAAGTTTGAAAAAAAGAGATCAAGAAACTAACAGTTTAGCAAAACAGAGAGAACTCACGTATATTAAGTACAATGGTTCCACGTTAAATCAAAAACGGAAAGCTAATTAAAGAACGTCAGTTATTGTATTTTGCATTTAGTTCGCTTATTTCATTTAAGGATTGGTTTTCCCGTCTTAGCTTTTTAGTCTTCTCTCCGGTCATTGCGTTACAGTCGAGAAAATCTTAAAATTCAATCGTTCGCAGAGCTCTTATGAACGTGACCGCTAAGCTCAGGTGCACGCTGATTATCAATTGTTGGTTTTCACTTGACGTCACTAAAATTCAAACTACAAAACTATCGATACTACCGGGATTTTACTCCCACGATGTATTAGAGCAGTCGAAAACTAATTTTCATACGAATTTTTGCTTTAAAAGGGTTCTTGGTTTTGTGATAGAGTACGCTTCAATTTCTAAGCTTTTGCGTAACGCTGCATTTACATGACGGCCAAGCGGAGTTGTCATGTAGATTTAAAAATGACTTATTTCAAGGAATTTTGTCCTCTAAACAGTTTATGTATTGCAAAAAGTATTACTTTAATGTTTATGAGTTCCTCGAAGAATAAATTCACGCTTTTGTAGCAAAACTCGGTAAAAGATGCTTCTGCTGGTTTCCGTCCGCCACGTTGGTGCTCATCCGGACCAGCATGGCGTCTCCATACAAATTTCTATAAATTTGGGTAAAACATTTCTTCGGATATATCGTATACGAAATATTGTTCTGACCTGAATCTTGGCGAGGTCTTTCCATATTTACCTTCTTTCATTTCCCAGATTCTGGACTTTATCTATTGAACGGTTTTGACTTTTATTTTGATCTATTTTGAATGGCGTGACACTGAAAACCAGCAATCAGTTAATTTAGATTTTCCGTATAGTTGTCTGCAATTTTTCCCGGGAAATTTTAGTCGGCAGGAAGAAAAAAAATTAACAGGCAAATGTATAGAAAATTTTAAAAAGTGGTTCTAGCGCAAGTAACGCCGTAGAATCCTTTGGAGTGAAGCTTTAGTAGTCATAAAAGCCCTTTTGCGGAAATTATTCGACTTTAGATTCTCATGCAAACTCTGCGGTAATTTCCTACGCGGTTGCCTGCTCGTCAAGATGGCTTACAAAACTGGGATAAGGTTTATCATATACTGCATGTCTTGGACAGCCACAGGTGGCCCAGACGTAGTATGTGTCACTGAATGAATATATTATTATTGTGCCTACAATTGCAAAACTCAACAAAATGCCACTTTAACTGGCCAGGAAAGACAAGGATACGTTCAGTTAAAGGTATCTTA